GGAAGCGCCGTCATTCATATTATATTGCAAACTGTCCTCAAGGAAATGGTAAAATGTTCATGAAATGGTTTCTGAACATCTCGCGAGCATTGCGGACTTTTCTTCGCCGTGATATTACTCATGACTGACTAATCGGGTTTCGTTCGCATGCCTGATGCACCGCACGGTGCAATCTGGCCGAAAGTTTTGGCACAAAGGCGCGTGTTTGGCGAGAACGTGCAACGGCGCGCGAGTCTTCCGTTTCCGATCTCGCGCCCGTTCACACGTTCCCTGACATGTTCCGCTAATCACGCCTGCCCGTCGACAAATAGATGTTGTCAGGAACCTTCGTTGCAACACGAACGCTTTACGTCAATTTTTGAACTTGTATTGTATGCACACGCTTTCGTTCATAAATATTCGAACACTTGCCTCGTGTTCTTCGGATACTTCCTTTGTCCTCCATCTTACTTGTAATTTATCGTGTAGTTAAATAACGAACGATTTCGTAAATGAATGCAAAATTAAATCACTGATGTTGCAAACGCTTTTCATACTGAAATTGTTGCATACCAAAGCTAGAACTTGGCGACGATTCGAGCATGAAATTTCCATCAGAATTATTTGATGCACAATGAGAATTAAAGTAAAAAAAAAAAAAAAAAAGAAAATAAGAAAACTGTATATTTTATTCGAACGAGAAGTCATTCGTATCTTTAAAAATTATTCGTATCTCTAAAATTAATACTTTTACTTCTATAATGTATCTAACAAAAATTGTAAATTGATCATTATGGCCATTTTGGTTAAAATGAACAGTAGACAGTTAAATAATTATTTATCGTAGAATGTGGAAAGAATTTTTTTCCAACAAATTAAACAACTTATTAATGATTGACAGAGGAAATTTCTTCTCCACAATTGAGATTAACTAACTTTTATTGAGTGAAGGGATGAAGGAACTTGGGATGAAAAAAAATATGCTTGCAACGCTCTAATTTGCAACACGAACTCAACAGCCGCGCGAATTAACGTTATAAATTGAAAAGTAGCGGAACGCAGGTGGATGTATTACAAATACCTTTCAATATTCATAAAGAAACTTACGATTTATCGCCATCTCTGCAAACAAACAAACTCTCCAAAGTAACTCGACTTGTTTGTTCAAGAAGTTAACACACTCTGGCCAGATAATGAAGTTGAAAAATTTACTAATGGCTGGAGATTCGCCTCTTCTTCCGAGAGTTTCGAGAAAGAAGACAAAAAGAAACCGGCGAAATTTTGATACCGGAGCGTGGAAAATCCAGAGAGTTGAAATTGAAGTGCATCGGAACGCAGTGTTGAACGGGTGAGATTAAACGTGTAACTGACGCCATTTGCATAATGCTGTAACCAATGAGTTTAGCCGAGAGTGAAGCTGTTTTGACGTAGATGTCTAATGAATTATTCAAATTTCGGCACCGTTCGTGTAGCTCGAATCTATAGATCGCTTCGAGATCCGAAATTGGATTTACTGAAGCATACATTGAAATTGAGCCTGGCGCGCGAGATAGTTCCGTATGGATGGTCAGGCTTCGCGTTTAAAATACTTTTGTATTTTAAACAATTGGTGGACGTAGGAAGAGGCGTGAGATATTAATACACTGTATAAACGATGAAATTGTCGTGACCGGTAATTGCTCGAAAAGTCAATCACTTTTGATTGATCATTGCGAATCTTCGTTCGACGAGAGCGACCTCGAGGAAATGGAACCTTCTCCGAGACTTTGCGAAACGTCAGCCATAGGTTCGCGAACATACGATAATAATAGAACTTGAACTTGTGTGGCGAACGTTGTTTTGTCAAATCGATGAAAACAGTGTGACTCAAATTGCAGAATAATCCTACATTCGCTGCAGTCTGTCAAATCCGTGAGAATGGTGCCATTTAAAATACAAACGAATGCCGTTTGATGAGAAATTTGAAGAAGAGCGTATGATTAATTACAGAAATACTGTAATTAGAGAAATATTTTTCTCAAAAACATACGAGTTGAAGCGAAACGTAAAACCCTGCTTCATTAAAAGTGAAACAAGAGAGCTTTATTTAAAAAAAAAAAAAATTAAATAAAACGGCGGAAACCCCCAGAATTAAAAATTCGTAAGTTCGTAAATCGTTAATTTATTTTACGATTTAATTACTGATCGCTTGCACGTGTCCCGAGTTGTTGGACTGAATCTTTGACCCACACACCCAGAAAGAATCCAGAACTACGTTAAACGACGTCCATTCGCGCGAGACAGACTTGTTCAGTCGATTGTCTATCGGGGGATGCTCACGCAAAAACCTTTATGGCTGAAGAACCATACTGCGAGAGCGTGGTTGCGCTTTCGAACGCATTCGGGCGAACAACGGAGTGAAAAGAGCTCGTTTGTGATCAGACCGAGGTTACGGTTTCTCGTTGTCTCGTTTTGAGAGCAGTTTGTTCGAGAGAATCGTACTTCTCATAAAGTTTAACGTTCTGATAGCAATGTTCAGTCATGGCCAGACTAAATGTGCTTTTGCAATTATTCTTACAATATTTTAGATCATTTAATTCTTCATTCTCTCTTAACCGCTTGCACTGGAGTAACGTGCCACGCAAAGAATTTTTTGCCCCCAAAATTGCAATATTTTCTCAGTTTTAAGTATATTTAAGTATACTTAAGTATATTTAAGTATACTACAGCCCGGGCAAAGCAAATAATAAATTTATTACTTCGCAATTATTTCCATCCAGTGATCTATCATACCGACGAGTTGAAAAAGAAAGCGACGAATTATTGTATACGGCTTGGTCACTCGTTATGGTCCGCAATCAGTTGCAAGTGGTTAAGTCACACTCCATGAATCACACATCGACACGAAACTGAATTTTAAAGCACACAACGTTGGAATAATTTTTTGTTCGAGTAATTTTTGAATAACGTACGTGACAATGTTATCCATAAACGACGTTGCATATATATATATGAATGTGCATTAGAAAAATTAAATAAGGAGTGAAAATTGCGATTTCACACGAGTTCGTCGATGTTCGTGCATTTGTAAAGAAAATGTCCAAAATAGAATTTCAATTGTAATATTTAATAAACGAACGTGAGAATATAAATTCCGAAATTCTGTGAGACTTTCTGTGATACTTAAGTTTCAATGTCTCTGATAATTGAGAATTAAATAAAAATTAATAGAGGGTAGTGTATCGTTTCTATCACGAACTATGATTGTCAATTTTGATCCTACGACATCAATCCACGATGAAATCACGACTTGTAAAGCTAACAAATAATCCGAATTTATGGTTAATCCGATTGATCAGTTTCAGTAGTAATTGCCTCGTAGATTAGTTTCGATCAAACAAATGGTAATGGGAACCCTGTTTAATAATTAGAATGACCGACGCGCTGCCTCGTGGGAGCTCTCCGCGCGAGCATGTTTCATGGAAATCCACCGAATTGCCATTGTTACGTGTGCTATATTCGACAATATTTCCGCTCTTGATTAGCAGAATAAGTTGGATTGGAAAACTTGTTATTCTCGAAGGGTTTAGCGACAATATTAGGAGATTCCTGTGATTAGGTATGGTTGTGAAAGGAGACTATTCAGTAGCCTTTTTTTTGTTGCGTATTCTGATGCATTATATTCCTACGAACCTGACTAAAAAAAAAAAAAAAAAAAAATGGAACCTAAATAAATATTTGCTTTGTTTATTAAATAATAAAGTAAATCTGGATATTTCACATATTTTAAGAATGAAAAAATATTTACTAATACGTCTATTTGTGCAGTCATACTTGTCGTGATTGGACATAATCACATTTATAGAATTTCACGTCGCATTGCATCGACTGCGAAAGGAAGCCACCGTGTAAAAATTTATAAAAATTGCTCATGATTGTGAAAGGAGGCTTCGTTATGAAAATTATTTGTCACAAAGTCAATGCGAGGCAAATATTATTTTTATCCCGTTGTTGGCATTGACGATTGATGTATTCGTGACTCATTAAACGCTCGTTACGTTTAGAATAAATACGAATGAAGTAGAATGATACGAATACAGTAGAATAACAAAATTGATCATAGCTTCAAAGTTTGAGGATTTCTTTTGATCAGATCTGTTTAAAAATTTACAAAAACTTATGGACAGAGAAAGTGGACTTGACGGTCCTCTTTCTGGAATAATAACTGTTTGAAAACGAAGTAGATTAATTAGAGAAGATGTTATTGGGCTAGAATTCCTTTTCTCTTAACTTCATTTGCTGAAATGAAGTTTCAATTAGTGTCCGGTTAAATGAATTTCTGTGGATTGAATCTACTTACCTGAACGTGAATTCCTATTATACGATAGATAGTGAGATCAGTAGACTCTTATTGTACGAATCGTTCGCCCCTCGACGATTCGCGTAAATGAAATCCCGTTGTACCTAAAGGGTTAAGAAATTTAAATCGTGCAATTCAGAAAATTTCCTAGTTGATTGTTCCATTAAATTTCGAACATCGATTCTTATAGCGATTTTAAAAATAATAACTTTAATATAATATATAATTAATTAATATATAATAATTTTATTATATTTTATTATATTATTTGTTATAATATATAATTAATTAATATATAATAATTTTATTATATTATTATATTATTAATTAACATTATATATTATATATAATATATAATAATTTTACGCTTGGATTTTCTTATTATTTCATCAACAATTTCTAAATAATCTACTTTATAGATTTCTATATGAATTTAATATTAACAAGTACGTAAGCATATTTTATATTTAAACAATGGCGATATACAAGTTTTAAAACGTGTAGAGACGATGTTACATAAAAGTGACGTTAATAATTCCGTGCTCGCGTTATCAAACATACGTGAAAATTGAAAATTTTTCAATCTTGGTACTGTACATAATGCTAGATTTGTTTTATAATAATTACAATTACTTAACCTACAGAATACCAAGTGGTAATCTTAATTTTTTCCTGCTTGCAGAGTTCGTGTCGAATATTACGTGAACGAAAACACGTTCAAGGAACGACTTCAACTGTACTTCATCAAAAATCAACGTTCGAGTAAGTATACTGAAATTAATCTCCTACTTACTTAGTCATTTAGTTGTATTCCTGACATGAAAATGAAAAATAGAAACTTTAGATCAGATGTATTCTTTATTTCATATTTAAAAAAAATTTTAACATTTTATAACAATTTAATAAGATTTATTATACTGTTGTCTTGTTTTACCTGTGCACAGTATTAACTGAACTTTCTCTCAGGCATTTCTTTTGAAATGTAAAATACAAAAAAATCTGTATGATCCATAGCATTACACGCCATTGCACACGAATGAATGACAAATCTTTTGCTTTTTGAAGTATAATTTTTCACTTCAAAATGTTTGAAATTGCGAAAGAGTAATAATAGTATTACTGATCTATTATATTATATTAAAGAATCGTCAGTGTATGAAAGATTAAAATATACAAGTTCAAAAATTTGTCAAAGTCTCTAGCATATCTCAAATAGTCGTGCAAATTGAAATCGAAATATCGATTATGCAAATAAATAAATAAACATTGTGTCGATGTAATTTATTTGTAAATTCATGCGTTGTAGTCAAACGCATTGATACGTTTCGTACGAATATACCGTGTGACAGTTGATACTGTGTCATTCGCAGGCAGAGTTCACACTGTTCGCTGTTTTAAATACAGCTTTCGATCTAACGGCAGATTTTCACGTTATGCCTAGTGCATACGAATATACCTATTGTGTCAATGTCATCTCGTAAATCGTGTTTTTCGTTTTACTTGTAACACAACGCTATCACGAATCTGATCGTGTTTGTCAGAGTAATCGGGAAAATATCTTGTTGTTAATTTTACAGCCTTTTTTCTTCCATTGTTCGCCGTGTTATCTTTATTTTTGAAATTTGTTTGTTTTCACCAATGAATTATAGAAATTAACACTATGACTACCCACTGTTCTCAAGAATAATATTCACCAGAGAGAATTTTCAATAAATTCTATTAAGAATTTACTGAAAACTTGATTCCCTGCTATGGAGGAATAATTAGTAGTAAATTTGTAAAAAATAAAGATTTTAATTAGAATTTTTTTTTATATAAAGATTTTAATTAGACTTTCGTGTATTTTAAGAATTTTTTTTATTTAATTAGAATTTTTTTTATATAAAAATTTTAATTAGACTCTCGTGTATTTTGAGCGGAGCTCCTTTCGATAAGCGACTGTTATATTTTCTTTTCACTAAAATTCCAAAAATTTGAGTAGAAACTTAATTTTACTAAATATCAGTGTAATAAATCTCAAAAAAATTTCCTAGCGACAAATTTATAATTATCGGAGAATAATATAGTTCGTTCAATTTTTCACTTGGATTTATCTTTATTAATTCGTTCCCCACGAATGTCAACTTTATAAAAATATCTTCATTAATAACAATTCAAACAACATCGTCAAATAATCCATTAATATATTCTTTTTTAAACGTTGCGCTATGTAATATAATTTACTATTTCTGTAATAACTGTGTAAAACTGTGTTAACTGTGTAAACTGTAGTAACTGTAAAACATAGTTTACACAGTTTTTATTGCACAATTAACTTTCCAACATTATCATTTCATTAGTCATATTAAGATGCAAATAGAAGGCATAAAAGCACAAATTTTCATTACTGGTTGATTAATTTTCCGTTTTCAAGCAACCATTAATAAAAAAACTACATGACATGACGTATCGTTTCTCGTGGATCTAATGTCAGTGATTAAGGTAATTGCAAGAAATAAAACAGAGTCTCTGATCTTTCGTTTACGTGTGGTATTTCATTTTGTGCGATACGAGTTCTTACGAGATGTTAGATTTCACAATGAATTGTGAAATTATTTGTACGATTGAGAACATAACGGAAAATATGAAACAATAATAATAACCAAGTAACAACTATAACAATTCGTTGTATCACCAAATTATTGACATATTTCAAAAATTTGTTACTTTAGTAAAATTAATTGAATTAATTTCAGCGTATATACTTTTTAATTTGATCGCTGTTGATCAAAGAACCTTTTTATTTTATTATTTCAGAATCTTGTAATACTTTTAAATGAAAACTGATTAAAAAGCCGTTCGTCTTGTAATTAAAAATTTTTGTTACGTCCCGGATTTTGCAAATTTTTACAACCCCTTGTATATATATAATATTACATCCGTGATGAAATGAAAATTCGACGAATATTTTTTTTTTACTTTCTAATTTAAAAAAAAAGATTTTTTACAGTTTTCAAGCTAAAACTTTTTTAATTTCAACAATTTCATCATCTTAGAATCTCATTATACAGTTCTAAATGAAATAATTAAAAAATCCTTCTCTGAATGAAAATGATTAAAAAACTCTTTTATTTTACCATTTTAGAATTTCGTACACGTTTAAATGAAAGCTGATTGAAAGATCCTTTGTGCTATAATTAAAAACTTTTGTTACGCTGCCGACTGTGCAAATGATTTTGCAACCCCCTGTATATTACACATTACATCTGTAACAAAATGTACACTCGTCGAATACCATTTTTCTATTTTCTTATTTTAAGCGAGATTTTCCACAAATTTCTCAAAAACTGAAACGCTTTAAACTTCTGCAATTGAAATCTTGCTACATACTTTCAAGTAAAATAATTTAAAAACTAGATAAAAATAATGAAAAAAATCTTTTATTTCACCACTCTAGTTGAGTTTCGTACATTTTTGAATGAAATTTGATCGAAAGATTATTCTCATAATTTAGAAAAAACGTTTGCTACGCTGCCGACGCTGTGCAAATAATTTCGCAACCCTCTGTACGTCATACATACATTACATCTGTAACAAAATGAACAATTAGCTATTTCTTTATATTCTAATTTAAGATTCTCTACAGTTTTCGAAAACTTCTTGCACAATCTTTTCATTTTTGAACTCTTACTACGCACTTCCAAGTAAAACAATTTAAAATGTTCCGCCAAATAAAAATAATTGAAACTTCCTTTCATCTCACCAAATTTGGTGCTTTTGAATGAAAACTGGTTAAAGGATCCTTTGTCTCGTAATTAAAACAACGCTGCCGACTGTGCGGATAATTTTGTAACTTTGCAATCCCTCTGTACGTTGCACGTTACGTCTGCAACGAAACGAACACTCGACGAGAGGGTCATTTTGCCTGCATCGATGCGCACGAATAGTGTCACGATCAGTTCACGATGCCGGAAATTCCTTTCGAGGACACGTTGCTCGTTGGATGCCAGAAACGGGAATAATTTCGGGAACGAAATGCCATCGTGACGCGAACAGCCGCGCCGATATCTGGCAAGCGAAACATAATCTTTTGAAGCTGATAGTGGATGTCGTGCCGATATCTCTATCGTGCTATCGATTGTTTGCATCTGTCCGTGCGTCTGCCGGAAGATCGATGCCTTGCCGTGTCTCGCGAAGCGGCAGGAGGCTGGGAGGGGAAGGCGACGATTAAAAACGGCTCTTTGTAGATCGTGAATATCGATACTCTCTTCTACCTGGGCATTCTTTATCCGTGACAAATTCATTCTACCGATTTTCTCCTACCTTTACACTACCTGTCGCGTGTTCACGTGTCGTGGCAAAAGGATTCGACTAAATTGCGCGTTAAAAGGTTCGAGGAAATAAGTCTTGGAATGAATTTGAATGGCCCGTAAGAATGGTTTCGTAGCGTGAAATTGGAAGTTTGATACATCATATATATGTGCATATCAAATTTATTTACATACATATATATATCAACTATTTATTACATACATATATATATTTTCATACTTATTTATAATTTTATAATTTTGTAATTTTATAATTTTGTAATTTTATAATTTTGTAATTTTATAATTTTGAAATTTTATAATTTTGTAATTTTATAATTTTGTAATTTTATAATTTTGTAATTTTATAATTTTGTAATTTTATAATTTTGTAATTTTGTAATTTTGTAATTCTATAATTTTGAAATTTTGTAATTTTATAATTTTGTAATTTTGTAATTTTGTAATTTTGTAATTCTATAATTTTGAAATTTTATAATTTTATAATTTTGTAATTTTATAATTTTGTAATTTTGCAATTTTGTAATTTTATAATTTTATAATTTTATAATTTTGTAATTTTATAATTTTGTAATTTTGTAATTTTATAATTTTATAATTTTATAATTTTGTAATTTTATAATTTATATTTTCATATTTATTTACTTAATATTTTAATTACTTGTAATATTTTAATTACTTAATATTTATAACAATTGTTTATCAGACTCGTCTAATACATCTTTAATCGTTTTCAATCGTCTGCGTTGCAGGTTTGAGGATACGATTGGCCAACCTGTTCTTCAAGCTGTTAACATGCTTCTTATACATATTCAGAGTCATCACCGACAGCGACCCAACTTACGCAGCATGGTGAGTAATCTGCAATCGATGCATTATTAATCGTCGTTTCCACAGATTTCCCTCATTAATTTAATTTACGATTTTCAGCAGTCGTTCCTGCTTTTTCTTTTTTTTGGAAAATCAAACTTTGCGTTACAATTTCCACAATTTACAATACATTTCACGTACTTGCATCTTGCAGACAGCAGTGCATTTTCTTCAAAAGTTACGCGTGACATTTTCAAGCGAGCCAATTTGCAAAATAATTTCACCAGTGTGTAAACAAGGCAGAGAATTTTCAACAGCAAGAAAATTGTCTTCTGTTTTGATGTAACGCGACAGCGCGAAAGAATCTCTACCGGAAGAAAGAGTCAAGGAATTAAACCCATTCGTAGGAAATTATGCCTGAAAATAAACGTAGAATGAGACTTTTATATATAATACAATATCCACTTTCCCTATCGCGAGTCTTTAACATTTACGATGCTTGTTCAAGATCTCTAGTTGTATTCCCTCCTTATAGACCTTCCATTTCACCAAAAATAATACATACTTTTTATTCTTTATTATTAGTGTCACTATATGTAGTGACAAAATAGAAAATGAATTTAGAAAATTTTAACATCGGATGTAAAAAAATACTATAACAAATATTAATAACGAGAGCATTACTCACGACGATAGTTGAACTGTGAAATTTGACGATTTTTATCACCGCTGAAGCGTACGAGTGCACGAGACAAATGTTTCGCGATCCACGCAGAGAGTTTAGCTACAATACGAAATGAAATTGAATAGGTATTTCGCGACGGATGCTTACAAAAGGACGAAATATATATTCAACGATCTCATTGTCAGTCAACGTTTAAATTTATCAATATTTACTCTTATTTCCTTTGTTATATTATAGATTGTAACAACGAGCTGGTTCTCATTGTTTCAACGACGAATCGCCAACAGATGAAAATTTTCCCCTACAAAATTTTCCGCGGGTACAATGCGAGTAGCTAACAACAGAGATAAAAACAAAATATTTCCTCTTCCATCTTCGTTTTTATTTGCCGAGTTGTCGTCGATGGTGCAATAAATTTACAGTTTTTAAAAACTACACGTGCCTATAAATCCTCATCGAGGTATCCCTCTGCCATTTACTCTTGCCATTTTTATTCCTTTTATTTTCGGCATTTCTATTTTCAACAAGCGGAATTTAACTTTTCGTGCAATAAATCAATACTTACTCCAGATTGAACACATTGACCTTAACGTCGAGCTCGATTCAATTTTAAATCGTTTAAGCTAGTTACCTAGTCTAAAAAAAAAAAAAAAGGCAGAGAATGGCCTTTCAGTCTCCAAATTCCGAAACTTTATAAAGCAATTAATATCGGACGCCATTGTACCGTCCATTAACACTCGCTCGCTTTGAAAAATCGCAGCTCTCAAAAAAAAGAAAAAAAAAAAAGAATTTCCTCTGCCTTCGAATTTCTCGAAACTTTGTCCATTTGCTTTTAAAATGCTCCAAAAAAAAAAAAAAAGAAAAAAAAAAGAAGAAGTTGCAGTTTTATTTCTTTCTTTTTCGTTGCAGTTACGGTTGCACGCCTGGCAACAAAACCGAGTTCCTCGTGTCGCAGAATCTTACCGAGGAGGAGTTTCAAGAGCACCCGACCATCAACTGGGACGCGATTTTATGGGTGAGGAGACCGTTGGAATTGTGGGTCGTCCAGGTGATCCTGGCAATAGTATCACTTACCGAAGCGTTGCTGCTCGCCTATCTGGGTTACAAGGTACGCGTCCTTTCATCCCCCCGGGAAGAAATTTGATTTTCACGCGTGATACTCGATAACACGGGACAGACGTGGCCCGCTCGTCTGAAATATCTCGTTCGAATGTTCGTGGTTGTCGCACAGGAACGCGCGCGGCGAATTGTCAAATTGGCCACTATGAATTATAAATGATCGTCGCGGAGGAAATGAGCGCGGTATCATCCGGTATATTCTTCTGACTTCAGTGTCGTTTGATGTTGAAATTGGTGCCTCGCGAAAATATCGAAACAATTTGATGGATGTGTCGTTACATACATATACGTGTTACGTGAGAGAGATTTGGAACAATTTTATCATCGTAAAACTGCGAATGTAACGTTATCAACAATTTATCGTTGGTGACGTTTAAAAAGTGTGGTCCGTTGTAAATTTTAAAATTATACCTTCGAAACAATTGCAGCTTTTTTTTTTATGGAAACAACACACGTGGAGGTAGAGTTTTTCAATTTAAATTCCAAGCATTTCAAAATTGTAGAATCAACATTGACACATTTTCGAGCGCTTTAATATAGTTTCTCAATTTTTTCATATACACAGTGTCGTTAAAAATTTTCGCGGAAAACATTCGCATTTGGAATATCTAAAGTCAAATTTCCTAAAATTTTCACACTACACAAAATCGAACGCATACTGTTGATAAATTCCATTCGATGGAAAAGATCGTTTATTCTATGCACGATCTTGATGAAAATTTAAACACGATCGATGAGAATTTTATATACGACAAACTTCACTCACTTTCGACGAAGAACAATTTAGAATTTTCAAACATTTGCCGATGAATTTCTGTGCGACAGTAAAGCAACGAGTTATTTTGCACGATGATACTTTTCGTCTATGTTACTCTTGGTGTATTTCTCTCTCGGTCGTTTTCCTCTCTGTGTATGTTACTTTCTCTCTCTCTCTCTCTCTCTCTCTCCCTCTCTATTCGTTGTTCGCTTCTGCATGTTACTCGGTGTTCGCTCGCCTAATCGCCGACCGTTGCTGGCTGAACGAATTAGACGAAATGAAACGGAAGTTGAAGGTTCGCGTTGACTTCCGTATTGAAGAGCGCGGTGCATGTAACCTCGCCAGGGTCAGAAAGTTGCAGAGATCACCAGCTGGCTGGCCAGCTAGAAGCTTTTCCAACCAATTTATAGGCTTCAGAGGGGCTAGCTTTACCTACTTTGTTACGTGATCCGCGGATTATAATTTTTTTATTGCCGCCAGGAAAAGAGCACAAAGAGCTCTCTCTCTCTCTCTCTCTCTTTCTCTCTTTCGTTTTCTCTCTACTTGAGAATGACTAAAAACGCTTTCCTAGGGAGAGAGAAATTTTGTTAGAAGCGAGAAAGGAAATCTTTGTAGGTACAGTCAGTCACGGAAGTCTGGATATGGAGTCTGTCGTGGATATTTTACAGATTTTAATCGAACCAAAAAAAAACATAGAGATTTTGTTTAAAAAAAAGTTTGTTTACTTTATCAACGTGCCTCTGACAGAAATGAAAAAGAAATGGGAAAGTATTTGGCTCACGAAAATCTTGTATTCATTTTTTTATTTTGTATATAATTATATATATATATAGATAGATAGATAGATAGATAGATAAAATTATATATAATTTATATATATATATATATAGATAATATTATATATCTATATATGATTATTTTTTATATTTTTAATATTTATAGTATGTAAAAGAATTTTAGAATTATGGAATTTGGTCATCAAAAAATAAAATTTTTAAATTTAATATTTTAATAATGATTGAATTAATTTATATAATTTATTTAATAATAATAGTTTACTTATTTGATTTTATTATTTTAAGAAATTTAATTTATTTAATTATAATTTTTTTTTTTAATTTTAATATATTAAATTGAAGAATAATTTTTCCTAATTTTAGTTTAAATTATTCTAATGGATTAATTATTATAATAATTTTAATTTCTAGAAATATTATTATAAATTTAAATTTTATTAATTTAAAAAATTATTGTCTATTATTAAATTTATTATTAATATTATTAATATATATAATTTTTTTTTCTATAAATTTAATATGTTATTTTATTTTATATATTTGAATCAAGTTTATTATTAATTTCTCATATAATTATAAAATGAGGATATGGTGAATTTCGATTCAATTCTTCTTTTTCTGTCATAGTCTATACGACAACTCTCCTAATTATAATATGTATACTTTCCAGCAAACAAATATGACATAAATAAATCATGCGAATGAAACAAACGCGAAGAAATAATTCTCCCCGAAACGTTTGAAACTTTGACAGCAAGCTTCTGCGACTGACTGTATTCCGGCGGAAGTTAAGTATCTTTCAGAATAAGAAATTCTCGAGGAGCTGGCTTCTATTTTATGGGCACCGTGGAAAATCCAGTTGAACCATTTCCCTTGCCTGGTTTAAAAGAATTTTAGATGTGGTTCGATCAAGATCCATTGAACAAAATCCAAAACACTTCATCACCTGCGTTGAACCTTCGAAAACTTGACAAATCTACGTAGACTTCCGATGAAAATTTGGTTCTCAATTTCCCTCTACAGTTGATCAGTGAACGTAGTATCGTATATGTATACATTCTATAGTGTAGAGCTCTTGATTGTGTATTTAGATATTGTTATTACATTTTCCTACAGTGGAAGAAAATGTACGTGTGTTCCTATTCTGATATAATTGGGGACTCGATGTAATTTTTATTCTTCGATGCGTATGGTATTGTTTCCTGCATATCGCTTCGCTGCTTCTCGCTCAGCTTTCTCAGTCGTTCTGCAATTTCGTCCCGATTACTCATTGTCACTCGCGCATCTTTCAAACGAAGAGTCGTCAGTCGCCGGGACGATTTTTCCAGGCTGTGCAACCTGTCGAACGCGACCGAGTTATGAACGTCGCGCGCGCGAAAGTTTTGGGCACGGGCCGCGGGAAATATAAAACCAATGCAATTCCACGGATGCAATACAAAATTTCGCCGAGTTCCGATAGTCACAAAACACGCCCCGGCTCCTATCCGAAAGTTTTCCTCATTTCGCTTTGAAAGAGAACCTCTGGAAAATCTCTGGAAGACGAACGAAATTCGACTTGCGCGGCTCTACCTAAACTCCAATTTCATTTCTCGTTATGAGTTCTCTCTCTCTCTCTCTTTTTTTCTTCTTTCTTTTCCTCTCGGGAGAAACAAATCAAGTGTTTTTACAGCACATCGACCGCCTCGCGGTTCGAGTTTGGATTTTAAATTAAATTTTCGAAATTGCGCTTTTACTGCAGAAACTGCAATAATTTCATTTACCTTGCAAATAAAATAATTATTTTGATACTTTGACAAAGTTTGTGGAGACTATGCAGGAATGTTGTTAAAATTACAGAATATGAGTACTATTTGTAATTTACAGAGATGTTTGTTCGTTTGTAGAATTAATAGGTTTCCAAGGTTAGACATTTTCTGTACAGTTACAAGGACTATTATTATTCACGTTCGCAAAATTAAATTTGTCTTCCTTTTTGTTTTATCATTTACTATTTGAAGACTCTTGTTAACTGTTGTGTGAGATATTTATTTTATGAAGAAAAATGGTTATTTAATAGAGAAGTAATTGTAAGGAAGGCTAGATTCGATTGAGGAAATAAGAGAAGTACATAACATAACTTTAATGTGCTTCCTCTGTGATTGAAGGGAGAAAGTGTCATTACACGTTGACAAAATTAAATTTTTATTCTTTCTTCTTTGAATTTACTGATTTTCTGGAAATAAACATTTATACTATTTATACTATTATTATTAATTAACAATTGTAATTTACATTATTAATTATATTACTAATGTAATTTATATTATTAACTATATTATTATTTTATTATATACATATATATATATATATATATATATATATATATATATATTGCTTATATTGTATTATATTATTCTGAATATAAGTAGAGGGACACACGGTGTATGTCAAATATAAAAGAAAGTAAATTACCCAAAGAATATTAGCTGCAGTATACTGGCTTGGAAAGTTTAAGACCATATCGTTACAGTCACAGAAACGTGAAATAAAATATTTCTCTTTTAACTGCGTGCGCAAAGTGCCAAGGAACACACAAGTAAACGCACATAATTTTTGTAATGAAGAAAGAAAATTCCACGCTGTACATATCTGGGTTGCATGGATCGTGGACAGAGGAAAGATTACAGTAATAAGAGAGCTTGATCCTTCTTAGACCTTATAATTTTCTCTTTCGCCACTTTTTCCAACTTTCCAAACCAGATCTCGTGATACTGTTCAACTTTTTTTTTTTTTTTTTTTGTGTACGCCGGTTTTACTTTAAAACTGCGAATAATATAAAAACTTTTCATTAAGTCATAACTGCCGGAAGTCGAACGTGATACAGTAATGTGTCTGACCGTGATATCTTTGCCTTTTTAAATCGTCACTAATTTCTGGAATTACTTTCATGGAAGCGTTATTGCTTACTGACGTCAATTACTATGTCACACGAACAAAAATAATAAAATTTTTGATGCCATTGTTTCGGGAATCAAATCTCTTCTAATGAAAATAGTGTCAAACATGATTCTAATAAAATTTTTGTTCTAAACTAAACTGAATAAAGTAAAATAGAACTATTTATTACTAAATCATTAATAATATTTTAATATTATTTATTATTTGTTATTGATAGTAATTTATTATTTGTTATTTATTATCAATAATAATTAATATTATTTATTATATTATATTTAGTATATAATAGTTAGTATAATATTATTTATTTTATTAATCTATACAGAATGACATAAAAATGAAACAATTATAAAAATAGTCTCGGTCGAACAGAAATAATAAAATTTTTGATGCCATTGTTTCGGGAATCAAAGGCTCTTCTAATGAAAATAGTGTCAAACATGATTCTAATAAAATTTTTGTTCTAAACTAAACTGAATAAAGTAAAATAGAACTATT